TGAGGACGGGCGATGGGTTTCCCATGAGAGCCTCTAGCGAGGTGAAGAGTACCCTCATCTCCTTGCTGAACTGAGTCCGATCTTTGATGCCAATACTCTCTTCCTTGACCTTCTGCTTTTCTCGCGCATTGACCAGGAACTTCATGATGAGGTTGCCGACCTTGAAGGTTGCGCGCAGCCGTCGAGAGCTCTCAGAATCTGTAGGCTTGGCGAGCAGTCGGCCCAGACTTTGCATGAGACATGATGTAACGAGAGAGTGGAATGATTTGGTCCGCGCATACTGATCCACCAATGGCTCAAGGTTGAAGCGTCTGTCGTGCACTATGCCAAGTACAATGACAACAGCATTGAAGACCAAATCTTCGTACTCGTCGCTTCCGGCGTAATGGCTTTGTATAGCGAACAGGGCGTCGAACACTTCGCTCAACAACTTGACGATCTCAATCTCCGGAACGAAGTTGAAACGACGCAACAACCCCACAAGCTCTCCTGGCGGTTGTTCCTGCCATTTAATGAGACCGAGTATGGTCGGATCTTGGGAGTATCGAGTACTGCAAAGGAACGTCTTGACGTGAACAGAAGCCATTGGACCCATGACATGGTCGTCTTTCTTCTTCGCACTCCAAGGCAGGCCAAGGTATGCTCCCTTTCCAGCGATCATGCCTGAGGTGTATTCGTCGTATCTGTACAGCGTCAAAGCATGGTCGCCATCGCGGGCGAAGGCATCCTGGTTCCAGAGGGGCATCCAGCAAAGCGCAAATGGAAATCCGGGAGCATCGGCAATGCTCATGACCAAGTGTGATCCGGGAACGTCCTGGGGGTCGATAGCAAGGCGAACTGTCGCGTTCCATCCCTCGCCTCGCTGGGCTGCTGTAGTCCGCCATGCAGTATGGCCTGCACTGTTAGTTGACGGGTAGATACACCCCTCGATGCGCTCCCCAGAGCTCTTGCGGACCTCAATGGTAAGTTGGAGGTTGGTCATTTGAGAGGTCTGGATTAGCGGGACAGTGCCAGTCTTGGGATGGGCCAGGAATGCGTTCTTCGGGAGAAAAGGCTCGACGAGCGTGAGGTAGATGTCGCTGCGTGGCTTTGTCGGAGCCCCCGAGAAACCGATCTTGCGACACTGCTTAATGTTGTGCAGCATCGTGGGGATCTTCGCGATGAGGCCCTCGGCGTCAGCATGAACGAAGGCTTTCATGTGTATGGTAAGTCGACTGATGGGCGCGTTCAGCTTGTATTTGCCGCTGGCGCTTGGGTATAGTTCTGGCAACACGCTGTCCCAGCCGCCATCACTGTCTGTGACTTCTTCTCCAGCTGCTGCTGTGCTGTACATCCTGACGGTCTGATCGGCTTCTGACCGGGCTTGCAGTATCTGATTCACAGGTACCACACCGACAGCGATGGATCTCTTCAGCGTCTTCTGGTCTCTTGACAAAGCGCGGGCTCGCGTGCTTGCAGTGGCGGAAGAGCCTGGTCTCGCATCAGACGTCTGTGTCTGTGATCGGGACTGTTCGAGGCTCGGGCGATGGCGTTCGTCGGAAGAATCTGTGTTTCGTGATTCGGTGTGTCGCGAGTTTGTTGACTCCTTCCTCTTGGAGCCGAACATGACGCTGCGCCTTCCACCCTTGATGCTGCCCTGCTGGGAAGGCTGCACCGACCCCTTGCCGGGTGGTGTGTCCTTGCCCGTGCCTGCCTTCTCGGCTGCAGCCGGCGAGCGAAGTGGCTCGTTCGTCATCAGCCTGAAGACAAGATACAGAGTAGTGCCGGATCCTGCACCCTCACCAATGTCGGTCAAGCTGAGATCCACAAGCAGTGCGCGAAGTTTGTCATTGCTCAGGGACACGGCTGATCCATCTCGCCCAGTCAAGTCGAAGGAATACGCCTCGGAGAGTGGCTGTGGCGCTGCCCCCGGCGTCTTCAGGCACAGGTACATGCTGATTTGAGCCGCGCCATTGACGACGTCTCCCGTCACATGTTTCAGACTGACGAACAAATGGTTTAGATTGTGCTCGTCGACATGGGCTGTTGGTCGGCTGTCCAAAAGGCTCATCATCGACTGCAGCTTTGTGACCTCGATGGCCGAGTCGTCGCCCGTCAGGATGCGGCCGCGCTGCGAGGGGCTCCGTACGATGACGTCTCCGCAGAGCATCTTATTGCCTGCCACAAGATCCCAGACGGTCGCCTCGCGTACCTTTTCCAGCTCCTTGGCCGTGAGAACCTTGTGCAACAGCTGGCGACGCGCCGTGTCCAGGCGGTTCACTAGCCGTGACATCTTGTCCAACGAGCCATACTTGCGTGCCAGTAGCAGCTCGTGTACCTTTGTGGAATGCCATTCGCGCAGGCAGGAGGCGATCTCGTCAACCAATGGCTCCTGGGCGGAGGTGGGTGTCTCGTCGCCAATCTTTAGCATCGGCACCGGCGCGGGCGGTCGAGGGGCGGTCGGGTCGGATATGGGCGATAGCGGAAGCATCAGTTGCTGGAGATGCTCTTCGCGCGAGGTCCACTGCGAGTGGGTGCTGCCCGCGCGCTTTCGGGCAGACCTGTGGCGTGAGAGTGGGCGGGCCAGGGACGAGGGCAGTGCAGAGACGGCGTCCGTCTTGGAGGTTCGTCGCGCATTCGGGCCAGAGCCTTTGGCAGAGGGAGAGGTCGCACGTGTGCTTTCGGTGGGCGTGACGATGCCGTTGGTCGGATGCGCGTAGTGGCTTCCACGACCCGAGTCGTGTCCAGCTTCCTGGTTCGCCGTGTCTTTGCTCTCTCCCAGGACTTCACGCACCTCGACGCACGATCGCGGGAATATGCCAGAGAAGACGCGTGCCTCGAGTGTCTGGCCCTTCACGCTCGTCAGGCCAGCCAGCAGCGAGGGCGGCGCAACCAGATATCCTCGATACCAGGATCCATCCTGGCCGCCCTGCTCAATGATGTACAGCTCGTCACCGATCTCGAGGGGCAGGTCGGCGGGCGACGAGGGCTGGAAGGGGTATATGCATATTGCGAACGCGATGCGCGGGAGCGGTCTCCAGCTCGGCATGGCACCAGACGTGTCGGGCTATATTGGGGGGAGTCGGCGACAGAGCATCACGAGCAGTCGACGGTAGGATGTGTGTTTCGGGGGAGCTCTTCCAGAGAGTTTCAGATACGGGTGTTGGAGGGCGCGCTGCTCAAGGTGCCCCTGATGAGATTACCGAAGGAAATCTGGGGATATGTCCAAAACCTTATTATGGTAAGCGGGGCACGTCCGACGTTGAAGCAAGGCGAGGTGATTACAATGTGGCTGTAGTAGTCTAAGGCAGTCGGTCGCGTGCAAGAAGAAATTATGTACAGCAAACAAAAGTTTCGACTGAGCAATGTTGATAACCTTCGCTGCGCCGTTCGGTAGCAGCCGTGCATGCATGGCGCTCGGGGCACAGGCTTCGTATCATCACCAGCATGGCCCTGGCCTCGAGTGTTGGTATCATCATCACTCGACGCGTTCCATGTCATAGCGCCCAATATACGCGCATCTCACATGCATCGGCCCTTGACTCCGTCGCCTTGTCCATCTGCAAGAGGACATCTCAATCTTGGAATCTCGCCGTTTTCGAACCACGTTGCCAGAAGGGAAAGGCAGGGGACGCTACAGCCGGTGTTTAATTGGTGAATAACCTTTGATGCACATCTCCCGCCTGTCTTGGCTTCATTTTGGGCCAACAACCTTCAAAAGCACGTGCGCCTTGCTTCTAACTCCACACCCGGCCAACGTTCATTTCAGACCAGGCGACGGTCCGAGCGCGCTGGATGCTTCTGCTACATGACACGAACTGCGAATCTGTGTTCTGCAGTCGTGAGTCTTCCAACCTTCCAGAATCGTCAGCACGCGATCTCCGCGCACAGAGCCACGAGGTGAAACCGCGCCGGTGGAGTCACCGCCGATGGGGCCTGCATACGCCGCAAACACGCGCGCGATGTGGCGTGCCATCATTTGGCTGTATGGCGGTGCACTAACTAAGGCACTTGCCGTTAGGGTACATTGCGGCCACAGCGTCCATCACACGACCGTGAACGCATCCGACCGACCTTAACACCGTTGAACGACCATCGAAACACCGAGTTAATGGTCCACTCAGAGGAAGTGGATCACAGTATGGTGCCCGAAGACGGCGACTGCCTTCCGACTTCACACGTCTGTCGTAAAGGAGTATCAGTGGGGCTACAGGCTTCGGATCCCGGGCGCTGGGAAAACTTCTTACTAAAGTCGGGCTCTAGACGTTCTGATCTACATTAGAGCTTGCCAACGTACTGAGGAAATACAGATCTGCTCTGTACACGTCTGTACTGCAGTTTAGTCTAGTCGGAACAGTCCCGAGGTCGCCTCTGCAGTCTACGTACCCACTTTGGGATCTTGGGCTGCGAAAGAGGCAGATGTATAGTGTAGGTAGGACATGGTCGTAAGTATGAAGATTGAGAGATATGCGATTCGCTTTTCCGTCAGGAAAATGTTTGACAGCACTTACTGACAGAATGTACTGACCCCATGTTGTGAAACGCAGAGGTTCAATTATTCATCGGCTTCGAGACTGGACACTTGAGAGACAAGAAGGTTCACCAAATCAGCGCAATCGAGCTCCCTAAGTAGAGTTGCGACAATGTCAGACCTAGCCCTACGTCCATGCCATCCGCACCGCGTTGCGGGCCGTCGCGCGCCTATGGACTCAAACTTGCTCATCTGGCGGCACCACATCTGCGCATCACGGTGCCTGGCGATCTTGGCCGACGTGGTTCTCAACCCTCTTAATGATGGTTCAGACCCAGAAAACACGATCTTAGACAGTCTGACAGCTGACGGTTGACATCTTCGTTTCCACTGCAAGAGCGGTCTCCCGCGTTTCCAAACCTTCCTTCCATCTGAAACGTTCATACAAGCTGTTCTGTCACGAGTTATATCGATCGACACGGACACAGACATGAACATGGATATGCCTTCGGCCACCTCCGCTGGTGCTCACGTACACCTCATGGCATCCATGCGTCCCGGGGCATCGACGTCAGCAACGGACATGTCGGGGATGGCATCGACCTTTTCAAGTAGTACCCACGTCACACTTTGGTTCACAGACTGGACGACGACGACAACGGCGACCTACGTGCTGACAATCTTCTTCCTCTTCTCTTTGGGCATCTTCAACCGATTTCTAAGTGCTCTCAAGAGTCAGTTGGAGAGAAAATGGAGGATGCAACGCGAGACCGAAAGCACATCACAATTCACGCCCAACACGGAGAAGCTGGTCAATCACAGTGTTCGTGGCCATGCACGGCAATGGAGTCGTGCGTTAAGACAACAGCCTCTCGAACTGGATGATAAGGATAGGGAAGAGATTGAGCCTTTAAGCCCAGTCGTACCACAACCAACTGCAGCCGAGGAGACCGGCATCGCACGGGGGTCGACTGCATCCCGCAAGAGTTTCTGGGCGGCGCAGGCACCCTGGAGTTTGAAGAGAGATGGCATAAGCGCTGCTTTGGAATTCAGTCGCGCATTGATTGGCTACGTATTGTATGTTCTCGAACGAGACCCTGGAGGCACAATGCTAACAGTGCACTAGAATGCTTGCTGTTATGACTTACAACATAGGCTTCCTATTTGCTGTCACGGGAAGCGTACTCCTTGGCGAGATGGTTTTCGGGCGATACACACGGGGCTCTGCAGGTCTAGCCGAGGACGGCTGCCATTCTTGAGTGGTACTTGAAGATATATACGAAGTGTGATGCGCGAAAAACAGTTCAGTGGCCTTTCGAACTTACGAAACCTAGTTCAAATGTAACCGCAGACCTACGTATCCAGCTTTCGTATCTGTAAAGACGACCCGAATCCATCATACTAGCAGCGTCGTCTATTCAACACGTTGAACACGAGATCTTCAACTTCAAATCTGGCATTCGAGATTCGCGATTCCGGTTCGTATTTTCGTGTTTGGTTTATCGGTGAAGTTGCTCATCCCAGCCCTTTGCCATCCTCTTTTCGGTCCTCCTTCCGGCGGCAGTCACACCGCATCTGGAGTGGGGCACTTTAGGCAACCATGCTGTCGTGTTTGACGCCGAACAAGAGACACTCACCAGAACTGCTGACGCGACAAACTTGCCCGACCAGAAGACCATGGAGGTATGTACAAAATTCCGACATTCCACTGCGTGTGCACGTGCCTTCGATGCGTCGCGAAGGCAGCCTCAAGGCCGCCGATGAGCAAAACCAACTATGTTAAGAGCGACCGACTTCTACACGGATTGCCAAACGATTGCTAACCGTATCGCACTCGCTGACTGATTCTCAGGCCCTGCGCTGTCCGTCTGCGCGTATAGCGTCGAAAGATACCATCGTCAATCCACTAGCTCCCCTTCCAGATGAGCTCATCCTGGAAATATGCGAGGTAAGTCATGCTCGGCGACATTAGTCGTTGCTTTCGATATAGTACTTACACTGCATCCTCGAGGCGTTCGTAGCGTTTGGTTTTACCGGGTGTGTTATAAGTACGGCCACACGATGAGCTTTCCCATACAAGCAGATGTGTTGCATACCTAGGTATACTAACTTCTTTTCCCACTCATATAGCGCGTTTTCCCGTGGGATGGATCTGAGCGATCGACTTGTGGTAGAGCTTCAGCAAGGTCTACTTTCGCCGCTCTTGCTAGGACCTGCAAGTACCTGTATCCTTTCGGTATGCGGTTCCTCTATGAGAGCTATCAGGTCTTCAATCCCGGAGAATCAAGCGGCTTCCTCCGCACATTACACGACCATCCTGAAATAGCGTCATACGTTCGCGAGCTATTGATCGGCGGATTCTGCGACGGGAATACCGCAAGCAAGGCGGAGATGACTGCACATATCCGGAAATTATCCCTTCCTTACGAAAGCACTTTGGTCGAGGCCGTTGCTCTTTATCCGGAAGAAGTAGAGCTAGCGCTTCTTGTCCTGGAGGCTCGCACCTCTCTCCAAGTCCTTTCCAGGCTGCATCACCGTTATAGTAGTCATGCTTACTGCTCTACTACTCCATTGTGGAGTCTGCGTAGGCATGGATTCCATTCAGTACCTGAAGACGATGCACATGCGTCTCATCGGGCCCTCTGGCTTACTCCTTTGCTTCATGCAGCCCAGCAGTATATAAGTGCACCAGCTGATGCATCAATTGGGTTCGCAAAACTCTGTTTTCTTTCACTCGACATGACAGGAATACCAATGGCTAAGATAGCCCCTGTATTACATCTACCATCGCTCAGGACCTTGGAGCTTCACGACATATCATACGGTGTCCCACCACTTGGCATCGACCATGGGTCTTGGGATGTACGTCCAAGGTCGTCGCAGGTGCAAAACATCTCCATCATCTCGCCGTCCGAACCGCCACTAAGTCACATAACACAGTTGTTACAATCATGTGCGACTGTGTCAAGCTTCCGATGTGATCGAGCCGATAAACCCGATGACAACATAGTGGATTGGCATTCCACACTCCTCAAAGCTGCAAGATCACATAGCGAAACCCTCAAAAAGCTCGAACTTCGGACCGACGACAATGGTGCAATGACCTGGACGGATGAATGGCCGCGAAATTATTTCTTATCTGAAATGGGAGAATTAGAAGAATTGGAATTGCACTACACTGCCGTTGTGGGCAAACAACGAGGAATCCATTACGATGAATTACCCGAGACGCCAGAACCTGCCCGATCGCTCCGTGATCTACTGCCGCCGAATCTAGTCGAGCTAAGACTGAAGTATGATAGATCCGCTATGAACGCCAATGTCGACTACACCGCTGAGCTACGGGAGCTTGTTCAAGACGATCTACACTTCCCCCGCAAGCTAAAAAGGGTGAGCGTACATTACGTTCATGACGGTGTGCAGTTCACATTCCCCTTTTCGCTCCACAGCCTTCAGGAATACTTCAAGGCACACGGTGTCGACTTTGACTATATTGTCAAGTGCGAGATAAACCATGAATGTAAGTGCTTCGTGTACCTGTCAGCTCGACACATTCTAATAGCGTTGTTGTAGATGAACTGGACTACTTAGTAGCGACTCTGGCTGCCATGGGCTACGAGGGCGCTTATATGTGTAAATGGTTTATAACGGATGACAACTTTTGGATGACATCCGAAGAGCTGTACGGCAGGGTAATGGAAGAGATCAGCAGCTCAGAAACGTCAAAAGGTGCATTAGTCTGAGGCGACGATAATGACTCGGCCACGACGGACTCAGAAAGCTTGGGTTTGATTAGGAAGCTGCGCCTATAAGCTGTAATCGATTGAACTGTCTCTAGGTCCCACACGCTTCATTTCCAGCTGTCTCCATCCCAAATCACCAAATGACTTCCTCCGATCGTTGGAGGGGCAATCATACTCATTTCGGTAAATTGTAACCGATTCCATAGTTCTGCCACGCTCCCAGCCTTCATTGGCATCCAGCCAAAGTAACGTTGCCGACCAACTCGCGGGTTTCGCGAGACATAGTCTTCTGGACGGTAGTCGGCATCCACAGCCTTGATGATGGAAGCGGTGGAGTCTGATAGAACTTCGTCATCGGCAAAAAGGAATATTCGGTGTAGGTTGTAGTCCGCATTCATTGGTTGTTCGCCCTCGCCCTTATTGTACAGCTCGCGAAGTTGATCCACATCGAGACCACCCAAAGCAGGGTCTGAGCGCGCATCGAGGCGAAAGAGCGTCCACAATTTTTGGAAGCCAGGATCGTCTTCTTCGGTTTCAGTCGCGTCTAAAGCCCCTTCGCGCGCATCGGTCTGCATCTTTTGGAGAAGTCGCTGCCATTGCTGGTCAGATGAAGGCCCGTAGCCCGTGCGGTAGATGGTAAAGCCCCAGTTCCTGTGGCGGACAAACTCATCGTCTTCATAGACGCAGAGGTTACTCATCCATTCTTTAACGGTGGTAGTCATTGGGGCGCAAAAGAAGATGTTTGGAAGGTGGAGAAATACGGATGGAGAGGTTGTGATGAGATGTAAATGCGATTGTTTCGAAATATAACAGCTTGATTGATGATTGATGTAACGATACGAGGTTTGAAGCGTTTATAGCTTTCACGTTACAAGAGTTTAGGCCTAGCTACCTAGGCAACCATCTGCGGGTGGGTCTGCGCACCGACAGTGCTGCCTTGTAACCTCCCTGGATAGGCAGGTAGATATGTTAAGTCCGCGGTTGAGGTCTGAAGGTAATATGAATTCCTGCATATTCCTACAGTATAATATTGGTTCATGCTATCCATGGATAGGTGTGTTGTTTGGCCCAATACTGGCTAGCAACATTGTACCACCCCACAAGTACCGAAGTTGGCGCATTTCCCAGCCACCATATGGACCCTATCAAAGACGCTCCAATACAACTCACACCCAAAAAAAACCAGTCACACGCGCACAAAATTTCATGCTGCGAACGCAAGGTCCTTGTCTCTTTTTTCTTTCGCACACTACGACCATTACCAGATCATAGCACCATTTCAAGACGGATGAAGAACATTCGCAAACAAATACGACAATAAATGCACCGCATTTCCTTCTCTCAAGATGCCTTCGCAACTCCCTCGCTCAAGGACCCAGATTGATTTCGTCCCGAAAGTGCGCCGACCACGCGAAAAAAGGTCACATGCGTTGCTACGAAAGAACAGCCTTGCTGCTGCTTGCAAGAGCACAATACCGATTGCACCGCCCAAAGAAGCGTCCAGTCATGGTTTTCAGTACTTTCCTCTATGGCTAGCTGCTAAGGCACTTTGGTTTGGGATGGACTGGTGCTTCAATCAGGCCTTTGACGTGTTGGAAGCTGTAGCGAGATCGGGAAGGAATAGGATTCAGAACTAAGGAATGGACTACCCAGCGAACACCAACTAGCAGAGAGAGATATTCCGACAGTAAGGAAAGAGATTTTGGAGATTATACAGTATTTTCGCTAAGCCTACCCAGCGACCGATATACGCCCAACTCCCCTGATCACATCAATATTACCATCGCCATCAACACACTTTACTTTCCACCACCGATCACGCCCACTGCCCTTCGCTGAGCCGTACCCCTACAGAAAGGCGTCTCATCTCGTATCGCCTGCGGCGGAATGCGATACATGACCAGATACTCGCCATAATGCAACCACTCTCCTGCCACCTCCTTGCCACCGGCGGCATCCTTCAGCAGATCCGCCGCACGAAACACTGGACCTCTAGCAAAGTGCGCGGGATCCACGGTAACAACCCAGGTGTCCTCGCCATAGCGCTCTCCGAAGTGCTTGGCGACGGCTTCCGCATGAGCTGAGTTGTCGTACACACTGATGAAGGGGGAAGAGATGTTGGTTTGTTGGTTCAGATGGGCGAGACCAAAACGGGATAGTGCGGATGTATAGTTGACGATGGTGGTTTGGTTCTTGGAACTGAAGCCGGTGGAGAAGGCGTAGCGGGTCTGTGAGCTAGTGCGATGGACGCGGTAGACTAATGTCGGTATGGCGGTTGGGGCGGGGGGTGGTGTCGGTGATGCATGGATCGGGTGGGGTTGTGTCAGAGTGTAAAGTGCTATATTCATATCAGTATGTTAATGCTGAGTGTATGCGAGTGTTCAGCGGTTTACCTGTCATGATGAAGTTATAACTGATGTGTCTTCAGAACAATGGGTTGTAGTGAGTATGAGATGTTGCTGACTGGATATACCGTCCACGTCAAACCCGCTTGTAGTGTCTTTGAGGTCTACTGA